AATTCCAAAAAGTTTCCACTTGTAATTAATTTACATTTCATTATTCTCTGCTGCTTGTTTGACAAAGTTTGTTTTTATTTAGTTCCATGAGAGATGACAAATGAAATGCTCCTTTGTAAACCCCAGGTGACGCAGCTGACGGGTTTCTCAGACCCAGTGTACGCTGAAGCCTATGTTCACGTCAACCAGTATGACATCGTGCTGGATGTGCTGGTGGTCAATCAGACAAGTGATACTCTTCAGAACTGCACCCTTGAGCTGGCTACTTTAGGTGGGTGCTGTTTATTTACCACCTCTCTGTGCACGGCCGTGGTTTCAAACTGTTCCTGAACATTTGTGTTGCTTCTTTGCACTAAGCTGAGCCGTTCCTCTGCAGGGGATCTTAAATTAGTTGAAAAGCCCTCACCTCTAACTCTGGCCCCTCATGACTTTGCGAACATCAAGGCTAACGTCAAGGTGGCTTCTACTGAGAATGGCATAATATTTGGCAATATTGGTAAGAGATTAGTTTCTGTTGCCCATGAAAATGTATTCAACTCATTTAAATAACCAGTTCGATTCCTTCCTCGCAGTCTATGATGTGTCTGGAGCTGCTAGTGACAGAAACTGCGTTGTCCTCAGCGACATCCACATCGACATCATGGACTACATCCAGCCAGCCTCCTGCACAGATGCAGAGTTCAGACAGATGTGGGCAGAGTTTGAGTGGGAAAACAAGGTACGCTTTGCCTCCGCTTTACTAAAAACTCAACAGATTTATTCTGCTTTGTTGAAGACCATGTTTTTGTGCCGCACTCCACTTTGGCAGGAGAAGAAATTCCAGGCATCCCAAGACTGAAACAAAATTAATCAAACTTAACTAATAAAAGATTAACTTATTTTCTTCTTGGTAAATTGTGTCCAGCGTGTTACTTGTTTTGTGACATTTTGTCTCCAGAGTGTTCTTTTTTTTTTTTTTTTTGGGCTGAGCTTTTTTTAAAAGGAAGAACTAAACAGAACCTTGACTTTGCTCCATCAAGAACATCTGCTCCATCATCTGTATTAATTTAAAAATAACCTCTGGTTCCATTATAATGAAGTGTAATCTGAGCACAGAAACCCCTTCAAGTAAAAGGTTATGAGTTTGGTATTATCACGACGTTAACGGCATCAATGGGACTTTTCTTTGTATCATCGTTAAAAAAGAACAGAAATACACTCGAGTCTGTTAAAAGAAACATTTTCTGAAAACATTGGAAGCTTATGTTGCATCAGTGAGGGTTGTAGTTATCACATTAGTTTTATTTTCTTCTTAGCAGATGCTGATTTTTAAAACGTTTGATTTAAACTCCGTGAGGGGTTGAGCTGCACTGAACAGAATGATTTGCATGGAATTATCAAATGAACTATAAAACCAGCCGGCTGGTTGAAGAGTTTCTTTCTTCTGTTTGTTGTAGGTGACGGTGAACACCAACATCATAGATCTGAATGAATACCTCCAGCACATCCTGAAATCCACCAACATGAAGTGTTTGACACCTGAAAAGGTAGGTGTGATGTGTGGCTTGTTTTTTCGTTTCCAGCTGGTGCATCTTGAAGTAGTTTGTATCTTTCATGTATTTCTCTGGGACAGTGCTGCAGCAAAGTCTCTTCCTTTTTGTCTTGAAAACCAGGCCCTCTCCGGCTTCTGTGGCTTCATGGCTGCTAACCTTTACGCTCGCTCTATCTTCGGAGAAGACGCCCTGGCTAACGTCAGCGTCGAGAAGCCCATCCACCTGGGGCCCGAGGCACCGGTCAGCGGACACATACGCATTAGAGCCAAAAGTCAGGTGGGTCACAGCTGCTGCTCCGAGTGTTTTTATTCTTTTGATCAGAGAACTAAAGGCTGGCCTGAATTTCTTTGCCCTAAATATTAACAGTGCAGGTCGTTCATCTTTTAGGGAAGTGTGAGATTGTCATGTAGACATAAAACAACAAAATCAGTCTGCATTGAACCCATCACACCTGAGAAGCAGCCAGGTGGAGCAGTGGGCAGCTATGCAAGCGCCCGGGGAGTTTTATCAGATTATAACTCAGATAAAATGTTTTTTAAGGACAAATGTGATGTAACCTGCAGCACCTGATGTTGTCGTTTTGTATCTGGTCATGCGTGTTGTAATAAATCCTGTTTCCTTCTACAGGGAATGGCTCTGAGTCTGGGTGACAAGATCAACCTCTCCCAAAAGAAATCGAACATGTGAAACGGCTGCCGCTCTCTTGTCATCTATCCAACAACCTTTTTTTTTTCCAAATCACAAGAGTCAAGACAGTTATTTACTTTTGTTGCTTTGTTTCCCGCGTATTAGTGTTTTTTTGTACATCTCCTTGTTGTAAACGCTACATTTCTGCAGTCTTCCTTCTTTGTCCTCCTCAATTTTCATTAAACCCACATATTAAAACAAAATCTGTCATTTTATTTAACAAATACTTAAACGTTTCCAAAGAATTTGTTACAGCCGTGCCCTCTGCGTCACACATTTGTTTCTCTACTAATTAAAATTCCCCACATTCCTCTTGTGATATCTCGCACAGCGTGAACTCATTAGTTTGTTCTGTCCGTACCCCCCAAACTGACTAAAACGCAATTTATTCAAAGCATAGGTCAGGTTTTTTTTTTAAAACTATGAAATAGTTTCTAATTTAAGCAAAGTGTAAAGTTCACTCTGATAATGACGTGACGGCTTTGAGTTGGCACAGGTGTGAATGTTCCACTGCCCTCCTGTTTATAATTTATGAGCAAAGGGACATTTCTGGGAACTGACTCGTCTACAGGGTCACAACCTTGGTCATACGTTCACAATATCTAGAGAATCTGGTCCTCCTGGGGGGTGGGATAAGGGCGGCAAGGTTGCTTTGAGGTCAGAACTTCAGCTGTGAAAATAAACAGTGGGTTATCTACCGACATCTTTTCATGTAATCTAGATCTTTTAGTGTAGTATTTGAAGTATTTGTACAAAGATTTATACTATATATATATATATATATTTATTTATTCTGTATATACATTATCTTTTCAACTAAATTACTGAGATGTATAAAAACCATTTTCAGTCGGTAATTTTTCGGTAGTCGGTGCAGCCAGGGGGTGCAGAGTCCGGTTCAGTGTCCTCAGGATTCCACCTCTGCTCTTTGCAGATGATGTGGTCCTGTTGGCGTCATCGTGCCGTGATCTTCAGCTCTCACTGGAGCGGCTCACAGCCGAGGAGAAGCAGCACCTCCACATCCGAGACCATGGTCCTCGGTCAGAAAAGGGTGGATTGCTCTCTTTGGGTCGAGGGTGAGGTTCTGCCTCAAGTGGAGGAGTTCAAGTATCTCAGGGTTTTGTTCACGAGTGAAGAAAGGAGCGTGAGATTGACAGACGTCTTGGTGCAGCGTCTGCAGTATTGTGGACTCTGTACCGGTCCGTTGTGGTGAAGAGGGAGCTGAGCTGTAAAACAAACCTCTCTGTTTACTGGTCGGTCTACGTTCCTCTCCTCACCTCTGGTCCTGAACTGTGGGTAGTGACTGAACTAATGAGATCGTGGATCCAGGAGATTGAAATGAGTTTCCTCTGCAGCTGGACTCTCCCTGGAGAAGTTCAGTGATCAGGAGAGACTCGGAGTAGAACCGCTGCTCCTCCACATCGAGGAGCCAGTTGAGGTGGTTCTGGTAAGGATGCTCCCTGGGCGCCTCCCTAGGGAGGTGCTTTGGGCATGTCCGACTGGGAGGAGACCCCAGGGAAGACCCAGGACACTGGAGAGACTACGTCTCTCAGTTGGTCTGGGAGCACCTTGAGGTCCTCCCAGAAGATCTGGAAGAGGTGGCTGTGGAAAGAGACGTCTGGACCTCCCTGCTCAAGATGCTGCCTGAGACCTGAGTCCAGAACAAGCAGAAGAGGATGAATGGATGGATGGTTTTCCAATAAATAAAAAGTTTTCTAATTATTAGCTTGTTTATACTTTTTCTACAATAGACATGTTTCTATCCTTTGCAGTGCATGTAAATAAATTAGAAACTACATTTTGTACATTAAACTTTGAAGCTCGTGAGTCAGTTTCAACACAAGGTGGCGCTGTTGAGCAGAAGTAAACTTCACCTCACCTTTATTAAAACATGTGATGTACAAGCCATGCTTTAAGACTTAAAACAAATCTCAATTCACTTTATTTTCACCTTCGTAAAGAGCTTTAGTATCAAGATAAAAAGTTATTGTAAGAGTGCAAATGTTGAAGTCACTTTCAAGCTAAGTGCTACTTTATTTTGTGGAGAATGAACAAAATGTGGAAGTTATAAAAAATGATTTCCTAAAAATATGGTTGGATTGATCAGTGATTTGCTTTAAAGATCTTTATGTTGCTGCTTTTGGCTGATTTGATCAGAATGAATTTATCGTTCAACCTTTATTTATCAGGTTAGTCTCGTTGAGCCTCGAGGACTCATTTACAAGAGAGACCTGATTTAACAACGAGTGACCATCTTAAAACAAAGCTTATAAATTAAAATAAATCAATGGAAGGAAATTAAAAAGACAACAAAACCAGCTGCATTGTAAAGGATGTAAAATAAAACCTGTGTTTTGCAGGAACTTAGAGGTCAAGGCTCTGAACATGCAAAGTTGACTCTTTAGTTATAAAAGCTAAGATGACTACCTGTGAAAGAGTTTTAGTGGAGAGGTCTCCAACATGTTTGTGTTTTCCAGGAACAGATGCTGTCACTGTAATCTGCGGGGAACAGTTTGCTTCTGAGCATCACAGGATCTGGTAAATGACTCATTTCAGACCGACATTAAAAACTAACAAACATTAAAATAAGAGCACGTGAGCTGAGAGGAATGTGGCTGCAGGGCTGGGGTGTGTGCGCGTGTGTGTGCGCGTGTGGAGAGGGGGCCAGCCTCCAACAGTGGAAGGCCCCTAGCGCCAGACATTAGTAGTGGCTCGGCTCGCTCGTGCCGTCGGAGCCAGGTCTTGAACGCAGCAGCGTTACGGAGGCTGGAACACGGTGAGGCGTTCACGGACAGGCGGCCGCGGCCCCCCCTGCGGTTTACCCGAGCTCGAACCGGGACCGGAACACCGACGAGTCGTGGAACAGAACCGGGCTGCTTTTCTCCTCACGTCCCGGTGTTGCTCCACCGCGGGGCCTCCTCTTCAGTTTTTAGTTTTTATTTCTTTTTACGGGGGTGGGGGGGAAGTGGGTGTTCCGGCAGCGGCGAAGTGTCCTCGATGGCTGGCTGGAAGGACGGCTCGGTGCAGGAGAAGTACCGTCTGGTCGTGGTCGGAGGCGGAGGGGTCGGAAAATCAGCCTTGACCATCCAGTTCATTCAGGTCAGTTGTCGCTTTTATTTCTGCTGCCCCCCCCGAACACACGGGCAGTCTAACGGGGGGAGACCGGCTCGGCTCGGCTCGGCTCGGTACTTTGCTGAGGCCTAAAGTCTCGACGTGAAGCAGGAGCAGCAGCTCTTTAAGCTCCGAGCTGCTGAAAGAGAAACGGTTTGAATGGAGCTGCTGCAGCGACGCGTGAAGAACCAGCTCGTTCAGAGATCACAGAGAGAGACAGGACCCAAAGTGTTGGTCTGCTCCAAGTTTGGATCATTACAGCTCCATGTGGTCCAGCAGCACCTGACCGGGAGCTGATGACCTCCCCAGTGTCTCCAGTGCAAGCTGCATGCTTCACACCATCAGGCAGACTGGACCTTCTGCCCCTGGTGCTGGATTCAGGCCACCATGGGGGGGCCACAACCAGGAACTGGACTGAGCAGGTCCGTTCAGGTTGAGTGACTCTTAAATTCCTACACTGAGAGATGATTAACTTCTGTGTTCGGACACGGACTCCCTCTTTTCAACCAGCAAAACAAGTCCTAACATTGTATAAACTTATTATTATATTATAATATTATAAACTTATATCCGTTGGGACCAGAGGGGCCTCATCTGTGAATCAGATTAACAAAGACCTTAACAAACCCCTACTGTGAGGTGTGATAGGTCAATCTGCATATGTATTTATACCCCGAACCTCACACTCCTCGTTTCTTTGAACTGAGAACGATTCTCGGATGAGAAGAGAAACGTCTTCCGTTACAAATAAAGTCCAGTTGTTTTTGTCTTGAACTTTTTTGAACTGACCGTGTCCTGGATGGCTGGGAATCTTCACCAGCGTATTGTATGAACTTCCTGATGAACTCAGCTGGCACCACCTTCCAGCGCACGTGACTTCATGAGTTTCGCAGCAGCCCACTCAGAAACTCACCAACATTAAAACAGTTTGCATTCCTGTGCACAGCCTGCCTTCATGTCACCTTCCAGGCTTCATAATAACTTCGGAGTGGACTTCTTTACCAGCCCACACACTCTGCATGGGAGAGATGACAACCCCCCCCCCCCCCCGCGTGTCAGTGTGTTACTGATGCTGTTTCTGGCCTCCAGGAGACTAGACAGCAGGCAGCTGCATGTCTCCGAACTGTCACACAATAGTGGGCAGGCACGTGTTTCAGGGTGGGGTTGAAAAGCTCCATGAGTGTGTGTGATCTTTTTTTTTTTTGGGGGGGGGTAATGAAAGTTCAAAAAGCTCATTAAGTGCATACCATGTGAGAGGATTGCTATGACTGTTCCATAGTGTTGTTCTAGAACCTGAACATAGTTCTCTGCATTAATGGTGCCTTTCCAGACATGCAAGCTGCCCATGCCACAAGCACTCATGCAACCCCATACCATCAGTGATGCAGGCTTCTGAACGGAGCGTTGATAACAACTTGGGCTATCCTTGTCCTCTCTGGTCCGGATGACATGGCGTCCCAGTGTTCCATAAAGAACTTCAAATCGTGACTCATCTGACCACAGAACAGTCTTCCATTTTGCCACACTCCATTTTAAATGACCCCTGGCCCAGTGCAAACGTCTGAGCTTGTGGAGCTTGCTTAGAAATGGCTTCCTCTTTGCACTGTAGAGTTTCAGCTGGCAACGGCGGATGGCACGGTGGATTGTGTTCACTGACAATGCTTTCTGGAAGTATTCCTGAGCCCATTCTGTTATTTTCTTGACAGTGGCATTCCTGTTTGAGGTGCAGTGACGTTTAAGGGCCCGGAGATCACGAGCATCCAGTAGAGTTTTACGGCCTTGACCCTTACGCACAGTGATTGTTCCAGATTCTCTGAATATTTTGATAATGTTATGCACAGTTGATGATGATAACTTAAAAGTCTTTGTTATTTTACGCTGGGTAACACCATTCTGGTATTGCTGCACTATCTTTCTGCGCAACAATGGTGGAATTGGTGATCCTCTTACCATCTTGGCTTCTGAGAGACACTGACACTCTGAGAAGCTCTTTTTATACCCAATCATGTTGTCAATTGACCTAATTAGTGTTAATTGGTCTTCCAGTTGTTCGTTATATGCTCAATTTCCTTTTTCCAGCCACTTATTGCTACTTGCCCCAACTTTTTTGGGATTTGTTGGCACTGAAATTTTGAATCAACATATTTTTCCTTTAAAATGTTACATTTACGCAGATTAAACTTTTGATCTGCCATCTATGTTATATTACGAATAAAATATTGACATTTGCCATCTCCACATCATTGCATTCAGTTTTTATGCACAATTTGTTTAGTGTCCCAACTTTTTTGGAATCCAGTTTGTATGTTGGACCAGTATGAGCTGATGGTCCAACATGCTGTTGCTTAATAAATGCCAGAGTCATTGCAGAAATGCTCCTGCTGGTAGGTAGAAGGTCATGACCCATTTCTGCGTTGTATTAATCACAACAAACAGTTTAGCTTTTATGTGAACCTTAAACCAGCACTAAAGTTTCAGGATTCCTTTGGGTGTGTCCAAATCTTGGACATTAATATAAATTATTCTTCTAGTTTAACACGACAGTCCCATTTCCTTTACAGTCTTCATAAAACAGGTTGTTTTGCTTTTGCAATAGATTCAGTTTGGAAATAAAGTGCACAGAAACAGAATAAACTTTTTTTAAAATGCATTATTCAGGATATCCAACATTTTTCAGATGATCGGACTGAAAAATGTTGGATTGTATACCTGGATTATTGAGCATGGACTTTGTTGTTATCCAGGATTTATATTCCTGTGGGATTATTTTGTGCCATGAAGTAAGAAAAACCGAGATGCTGTTAAAATGTTTTTTTAGAAATCTCCTGCTGAAGAAAAAGATGTGACAGCTGGTTGTGAAGTTGGGGGCGTGGGGGGGTCTGAGTCAGGCTGGGTGGGTTAATGGTCATGGACCATGTGGAATTTGGCCCTTTGGCAAAGGAAGTCCCTCTGCTGCTGCTCGTAGGACCTCCTAGTTTTGTGGAAAAACATGACCTGTTTCCCGAGTCACTCGAGTGTGTGTGTGTGTGTGTGTGTGTGTGGTGGGGGGTAAGCTGTTGGATTAAATTAGATATATTTTTCCATAGTTATTGTATAAAGTGATGAAAATCTTGCTACTCTTGGCACATGTACCAGCGTTTACCTAAATAAAACAGTGACGGCACCTGTGAGCATTGTTTCTAAAACAGTTCCAGTCATCATCACTTTCCCAGTCTTTAGACGCTGGGTTAACTGGGAAACTGCATTCGTTCTTCCAGTAGTGTTATAGTATAAATGTTTACATTTTATTTGACCTTTGGTATTTTGTATCTGGGGATGTTACCACTCTTAAAGTACTTGCAAATTCAAAAACCTGAGTAACACTATGAGTAGATTTCATTTTCATGTCAAACAGAAAAAAGCTCAATGGCCAGGACGCCATTAGTAGAGAAAAGGTTACAGTGAATGTCAGGACACCGTCCACACAGCTCCTTAAAGGGGCCTGACACGCCCGTCACGGCTGCAATGTGTGCAACGACTGAAGCAGCATGGGGGGGTGAAGCCGACCCTTTGGGGTCATGACTTTGAACCTGCAACGATGTAGTCACAGAGCTGAGGCGGTGAGTATGCGTGGAAAAAAGAGGGAAGAGCCTGCAAACACCAGCACCGCTCGTGACAACTGGTTCTGTTGGTACTCTGCTGGTTTTGACGATGATGCCTGGTTGATGTGTGAAGGCGCATCGTGGGGGGGCAGGTTCAGCTCAGGTGATTGTGTGTGGACAACCTAAGGTGGCTTGAATAGGGGCTCATCCTTTTGGCCGTATCACAGAACCGTAGTGTGAAAAGAGCTTTGGAGTGATTAGCAGACGAACCCCGAAACCAGTAAAAAGTCCCAACGTGTAAAATGGAAACGATGCAGATTACACCAGAGTGAGTCAGGGATTTCCAAAATAAGAGTTTTTGTCTCTGAAACTGATCCTAGAGATTAAAGCTGGAATTATTTACCAATATAAATGTCCGTGTGTGATATTTATGTTTTTATTATTATTTAATAGTTTGAATGAAAATATTTGTGTAGAGAGTTTATTGTTTTGTTGACCTCGTTGAGATCATTTTGCTTTTATTTATTTTTACTAACACAAACAAAACGTGCAAATGAATCCACGTGCACATGTTACTACATGAACTTAAAGTAAGGAAACGAAGAAGCAACAGTGGGATTGAAAACTCCCTCGATGACCTAACGAGCCGCGTGCTAACTGCTAACTAATGTTTCGGCTGACAGAACAATAAAGTTCAAGCTGTGTGGTGACCCGGCTCCAGTCTGTCGGACACTTGAGAACAGCGTGAGACATCCCTGATTTAACACCTCACCATTTATTACCGAGTGTGGACGATAAACTGTGACCATTTTTTAACTTAAAATTAAACCTCTGCTTAAAGCTGTTGTTGAATTGTCCCCTCTAGGCTACTGTAGAAGCATAGCTAAGCAGCATGAAGAAAATTTTGAAGAGGAGTTCCCGTATTTAGAAATAAAATGTGGATCATAGTAAATTATATTTATTTTAATTGGTTTATAAAGTACATTTAGGAAAACGACAATCTTTTTAAATGTTAAAGTAGGGTGACCAGACATCCCCGATTTCCGGAGACGGTTCCCGTTTTGGACGACCTGTCCCCAGAAATGTCCCCGATTTTAACATTTTATGAATGAGGTGGGGGAACGTTGCGTGTAGTCTGTTGTTACAGTAGACTGGTATGTTGCGTGCAACAACAGCTGTAACTGAAGCTGGCAGGGCTGCTGTTAACGTTACAGGCAGAGAAGAAGAAGAGCCGAGCGCGCCGCCTTTAAAACAGAAGAAGAAGAAGATGACCGTGGTGAAGTTAGTTTTGTTTTACGTTGGACATTGTGTATTCGAGCTCTGGATTCAGCAGTGTCTTCCTCTCATTCAGTCTGACTGGGGTCAGTCTGCCCCTCCTCCGAGTCGCAAAGGTTCACTTAAGCCCCT